TGATGTAGTTGGTCATTCTCTATATTAAAATTTCCTTACTTGAATTACTGTGTGGTTTCTGTCTCCTCATCACACTTCTATCTCTAGTTTGCATTTTAAACCTAAATGTGTTGAATATTTTATTAACTATTTTTTAACAATTTAATTGAGCACATTGTTTTTCTTCTTTATTCTGTGCATGTGGTGAATCAAATGAATTGATTTAAAAATATTTAACTGTCCTTACATATCTGGAATAAGCAAACCTTCCTTGATTATAATGTGTTATTAATTTAATACAATGCTGGTCAATTTGATAATATTTAAAGATTTTTGCATCCTATACAATTTCCTTTTCTTTGAATTTTATTTAAATTAGCCTGTGTATTTACCAAATCCTTTATCCTTTTTTTTTTTTTTTGCATTTCTCACTCCATCTCTCCAGGTTCAATTGCCTCCTTAGAAAAATACATCCTGGTAGGTGTGTGTGTGTGTGTGTGTGTGTGTGTGTGAGAGAGAGAGAGAGAGAGAGAGAGAGAGAGAGAGATGTCTTAAGAGTAATTAATATTTTTAGTATTGTCTGAAAATGTCTATTTTGTCCTCACTTTTAAATAATAATTTTGCTAGGTATAATATTCTAGGTGAAAAGCTATTTATTCTCAGTTTTGCTTTCTGGACTCTGTTACTACTATTAAGATAGTTTTTGTTAGTCTAAATACACTTCCTATGTTAATCTGTCTTTTTGCTCTGTTTCCTTTAAGATACTCTCATTGTTTGATTTTCTATAGTTTTACCACATTAGGTATGTTCTAGGTGTGAGTTTCTTTAAATTTTGTTTCTCCCAAAGTTAGATATACATTCATAATGTAAAAATTTATATTTTCATCCAATTCTGAATCTAGTTAATCCTCCTGGAAGTCCTATTATGCTTCTGTGCTTTTTTTCCACTTTATTTGAGTTTCTAAAGTTTTCCTTTTGTTTTTTCATCTACTTAACTCTCTGTGCCTCATTCTCAATATTTTCTTGGAATACAATTTCTAGTTCTGTAATTTTATCCTTGCTGTTAACCTTATTTCAAGAATACATTCAGGTATGTCAGTTAAAGGGTTACAACACCTGAGAAACTGGCCCTAGGAAACTTCCCTTGATTTTAGGTTATTAGCAGTCATTGTACTAAGCAGAGAGCCAGGCACAAAATATTTAAATCATCCATTACCAGTCAGGTAAGGTTCATACAACAGCACATAAGTGTCATCTCTGAGCTGGTTAGAAATGCAAGATCTATGGTCACACTACAGACCTACTGAATCAGAATCTGCATTTTAACAAGATCTCCAGGGGATTGAGAGACATTGGAAGTATGCTCTGGAGTGTTACTATTGGTATCTTTTTGTTACCGGTCTGAATTGAGATTAAAAAAACTAAGAGACGGCATTTATAAATTTTATAAATTTTTATAGTCATTCGCCAAAATAATCTTATAATGTTCAAAGCTAATAATAAATACTTTATATTTGCATTTTTATATCTTTTATTTCATTTTTCTGATGATTTATTTATTGCAGTCACCCAGTGAAGCGGTGTGTTTGGCAGATGGGTACCTTATTAGTACCTGAAATGCCAGAAGCTCATCTCACCAAGTGGAGGGATGGTGGGTTTTCTGCTTTCTCTGGATATGGTTATGTGATTAAATTCCTGTATCCTGAAACTACAACAAACAAAATTGTATGCTTTGCCTATTTTGTGGGTAATTCCTCATCAGCTTTCTGACAAGCACATTGATTTATTATCTCAATTGCTGTATTTTTTTTAATTGCTTAACGTTCTATTCAGTTCTTTTTCAAGTTTGTAAATTTACTTTCTTTTCCTGTTATGTTCTATTCTTTTAGACATATCTTTTTAAGACCTTATGCGTCTGTTAGGTTGTCCTACATTTGTGTTTCCTTTTGTTTGAAGTGCACTTTCCCTCTTTGTTGTATATACTATTACTCTCTCACATTTCATTTCCTTTGGCTGCTTGTAAATTTTAATATAAGGTTTTCTTCGGTCAATAATATTTTCCTGTGAGATTCCCATCCCCCCAGGGTGTGGATATTTCTCTAGAGCATAGTTTTGCATTTGATCTTCTCCTGGGCCCCAGAAATTTCAGTCTTGAACTGTTTTTTTTTTTTTTTCTCTTTCTTCTTTGTCAATTATTTGGTTGGGGATTCCCTGCTTTGTGGAGAGGATACATTTAGATTCCACACCCAAATTTGGCATAGACTTGAGATTTATATTTCTTTTTGGAATTTTTTTGTTTGTTTGTTTGTTTTTCCTCCACCCTAGAGCTTGGGGAGAGAGCAATCTACTTTGCAACTTCTCTGAGCAGGCTGATGGAACTTTTTAGACCCCTTTCATAGCCTGTGTAAACCTTTAAGAATTCAAGTTTTATGCAAATATTTCACTTTTTATGTGAACACAAGGCAACTAACTGTCCCTTATGTTGCCTAGGGATTAAAATGACAATAACTTCTCTTAGGACTGTGCCCGTATAAACTCCTTTTGTTATAAATGTCATGAGCAGTAGTCTACCGCTCTAACTTTAAATACCGTCTATGTTTCAAGTCCTTACAAATCTTTTTATTTTTTTTTAGTTGGATCTTACTCTGTTGCCCAGGCTAGACTGCAGTGGCATGCTCACGCTGATCACAGCTCATGGCAGCCTCGACCTCCTGGGCTCAGGCAATCGTTTCAACTCAGCATCCTGAGTAGCTGGGACTACAGGCGCATGCCACCACACTTGGTGAATTTTAAAATTTTTTTTAAAGAGAGGAGGTTTTGCTGTGTCAACCATGCTGGTCTTGAACTCCTGGGCTTAAGAAACCACATACCTTGGCCACCCAAAGTGCTGGGGTTACAGGTGTGAGCCACCACGCCTGGCCCAAATCTATAATTCACCATATTTATGAATTTGTTATGGGAGAAGATTCTGCACTTCTTCTCTATGCTGAAGAAATTTGTAGCTTGAGTCTTTATCTCTAACTGTAGTTTGAAAGGTTTTGTTTCCTAATTTCAGGAAAGAGTGAGCTGGACAGGTCCAGGAAGTCTTCTCTTGCCTCTCACATCCCACTATTTGAAGGTTTGACCTTTTGGAATCCTGTGGTGGTAGATACCAAGAAGGGTGGGATCTGTGGGTAATATTAAAACCAAGCTGTCCTCTCTTATTACCTTTGTTTTTCCTTCTTATCCCCTATTGTATTGTATACGTTCTCTCAATTCTCTACCCCAGGATTCCTGAGTGCTGGGTCTGAGAGCCTACTTTCTTCTTCCCTTACCCTTAAACTCTACCCCTACTCTGAATTCCAGTCCCTTTCTCTCTGAGACACCCAGTGTTGGTGGAGGCTGAGGAGATCTTTCTGGGCAGATATTTACACATAGAAGACTTAATGCTGAGGCTACATTTGTCTTCCTGTGACACTTCTGGTATTGTCTCTGGGGGAAAAGGCAACTCCAACTGTTGGGGAATAAGATCTAGGACCTTTATCCTAGGCATATGATAATGTGAGCAGAGGAGCATCCTATTTATGATCATATTATCCAATATCAGGAGGAAAAGTCTATACCACCTTGGATAGAAACATGAGAGAAATAGCAGAACAAAACCAACAGAAAAGGAAATCTAGAAGATTAATTGTACTGTGTAAAAGCAAAGCTAACAATATACCTGCTTACCATTTGGTCTCCATTTTCAGGTTACAATATAGCAATTCTGCTTGTCACAAAATATGCTACATGATCTCTGTTCCAAGTTCTTCTGGATGAGAGCCAACGTTAGAACCCTGCCTGCACACTCTGTCCCCCCCAGAGAATGGTCTGATCAGACATCATTGCCATCAGACACCATCATGAGGAACATCCATTATTAGGGTTCTCTCATGTCCCAATGTTATAAATACTATCAGGGACAGTTGAAAGAATAATTTTTTTCCCTAAGTTCAACTCTGCACCTGCAGTTACTCTAGAAAGGTAAATAGTAAGATGTGAACACAGTTTATACACAGTCGCAGTGAATGAACTTGGGCTTTTGAAAAGTTAACCTCCACAAGCCCATTTCTCCCATGTCCTTTTGTCTCTGCGTTCAGCAGTTGTTCTATTTAGCATGGCTAGTGCAGTTCCTTTTCAAAGGAAACGAAGTAAAGAGATTTTAACCTCTTAAAGACCAGAGTTATTAAAATAACAGCAAAAGCTAAAACCAAGAATAATAAAAAAAAGAGTCAGTCCACTTTCTGAAAGGGGCAACTTTGCCATCTCTTTTCATCCTTCAGTCTTTCATTCTTGGAAACGAGAATAGCAGGCTACACATTAAATCTAATGGCAATCGGCAATTTAAATAATTCAAGAATTCTATGGAAGTGGATTTTGCTGTAATGCATAGCAATCTCCCCCTCCAATCCCCCTCCACGCCACATCTTAAGTTAGAATGTCAGCCTTATTTTTCATTTCATTCAAAGTGACAGGGGGGAAAAAAAGATACTTTAAGACCTAATCAGGTACTGTACCGGTGTTCTGAATGATGAAAAAAAACCCCTCAAATTACTTCAGTGGGTTTGTCAGCTCTATTGTTGGCTTAGTCAAGTGGCCCTACAGAAAGGAGACAGGAGAGCTAAGAGAAAATAGTAGAATTCTAATCTGCTTTTTAAAGGCTCTTGGTCAGAAGTATAGCAATTCAGATACCCCTGTTTGAAAGCAGCAGGACAGATTTGTTAGAAGACAAAAGCTCCAATTAGTATTTTCCACACCCTTTCACAATTTTCTCTACTGCTTTTGGCTCTGAAACCCTTTATGCCAGGGCCTTTGTGCTGGCAGAGAGGCGGGTGGAAGGGCACGGCGGCGGGCGGGGGAGGGGATCCCGGGCTCGGAAGGATGGCACACAGGGCCTGGGTGCCCAAGGCCCCTCGCAAGGCCAAGTAGCTCCTGAGGGAAGCGGTCCTGAGCCCAGACAACTCTGGGCGCTGGGGGGAGGCGGGTGCGAGGGAGCCCACCTGAGTTCACCGAGATGCGGGCTTGGCGAATGACCACCTGCGGGGCGATGGGCGTCTTCGGCTGCAGCTTGTGGAGGCCCTTGGCGACCTGCAGGAGCTTTTCAGAGACGTCGAGCCCATACAGGAACCGGTCCACCAAGAACACAACCGCCGCCGCCTCAGCGCAGTCCTGGGCGAGGATGCAGGCCCGCAAAGACACCTGGAGGGACGGCCGTGGGACATGAGAAGTCAGGCAGACATGCCCCCAAAGAGGCCGGCAGGCATAGGACCACGCTTAGGCTTTTGGGTATTTTCATCATGACAGAACAAGACCCATAACTAGGAAGAGAAACATTCTCTATCAGGTGACTGAACCAAAAGGAAGGAAATAAGGAAAAGTCCATCTCACGTGTAGGATAAAACAATATTCCATCTCATTACATTTCTAAAATTATAAAGTGATCAATGCATATTTCCTGTTAAAAATACAAACAATATAAAAGTATATAGGTGAAAATGAAAAATGTCCCTAGTTTCCCCACTCCTTATCCTATTTCTTCCCTCTCCTCCCCTTAGTCTTAGTCCTACTTTCCCTGATAACGATTTGGGAGAGAAGATCCTTCCAGAAACTTCTTAGACATTCATTGATTTGTCTTGCTTTGCTTCTCTCTCCCATCCTTCCCTCCCCACCCCCGCCACACACAAATGAGTTCACACTAAACATATTGTTCTGCTGCTTTCTTATTTAAGTCATTGTTACATCTGGGAGAATTCATTCATGATTCTCTGCTTCACTTATTGCCTACATTTTAATTAAGAAGAAATATGATTTTGTTTTGAGTTGGGGTCTTACTCTGATGCCCAGGCTGGGGTGTCGTGACTGGCACAATCACAGCTCACTGAAGCCTTGACCTCCTGGGCTCAAGGGATCCTTCTGCCACAGTCTCCTGGGTGACTGGGACTATGGTCGTGTGCCACCACAAACAGCTAATTTTTTTTGATGTTTTGGAGATAAGGTCGGGCTATGTTGCTCAGGCTGGTCTCCAAATCCTGGACTCAAGCAATCCTTCCACCTCAGCTTCCCAAAGTGCTGAGATTACAGGTGTGAACCACCATGCCATGCCAGAAATGTGAAATTTTAGGAAATATGTTAAATTTGATCAATATTATCATGCTTGGTTAATGGATAAAATAAGAAAAAAAAAAAGACATGAAATGGAAGTCTAACACAGAGTGAGAAGTAGAAATAAATGAGGCAAGTTTTTATGGGAAAACATTATCATCTTTTGCTCTGTTAGCGTGTTACACGGAAGACCTTTGATTTAGTTGTTTTGAAGCCAGTGGCATAAATGAGTATGTCACCCAACACTGTTGTCATTATATGCTAAACTACATCAAACTGAGTGACTTTTGCGTGTTTTTCACTCATTTTCCTTCTACAATATTGTTGCACTAAGCACTGCATTCTTTATCACATAATCATGAGCACTGACACTTATTGGGCAAAACTAAGTGCCAGGTACAGTGCTAAGTGCTTTATATGCACTAACTCACAGCACTCCTGAGAGGCATCTTCTATTATTATTATTAACATTTTATAGATGAGAAACTGAGATGCAGAGAGGTTCAGTAATGTGTCATGGTCACATGACCTTCGACTAAGCTCTGGGGTCCAGATCCCACATGGTCACACCCCTTGTTGTTCTGACTCTTGATTAGGAAAGCTGGAGGAGTTAGAGATTAATAACCTGATACTCATAACTATGTTAATAAATGCCATACGTGCAATCAGTATTGTTGCAGTTGCTTGTCTAAACATGGTTCAGTTTAACAAACTGAAACTAGGAGATAATATATTTATGTGGTAGATAGTAGTGTTTGCTTTTCAAAATATAATAGAATAGATTTATTTTATTATTCTATTTTATTTTATATCCTAGCTCACTGTAACCTTGATCTCCTGGACTCAAGTGATCCTCCCACCTCAGCCTCTTGAGTAGCTAGGACTACAGGCATGTGCCAGAACACCTGGTCAATTTTTAAATCTTTGTAGAGATGAGGGTCTTGATCTCCTGACCTCAAACAATCCTCCCACCTTGGCTTCCCAAACTGCTGGAATTATAAGCATGAGTTGGAATAGCTGGAATGGCTCTTTTAGAATTTTAATTTGATACTTGCATATTTCTGAGTAAAATTGGCCTGAACTTTTACATCTGGTCCATTCCAGGATTTTATCTATGGTATTTATTTGCATTATTCAGTTTATATTTTTTCCTTTTTTTCATGATGATTTCCAGCACTGAATATACACTGGAACATTCACATTTAGGGGCATTCATCAATCAGGTAATGCCTACCATTAACCAGCACAATAACCCTTTTCTTTCAGACTGATCCTTTCTTAACTTGTTAAGACTTTAAAACTATCAATGTGTTTATTAAGCAAATAACTTAATAACTTAAATGTCAATGTGTTTATTATTAATAAATTTGAAAATTTTCACTGTACTTATCTTTTTGTTCTAAGCCAATCATTGTACTTATTGTGACAGAGATGCCAATTGTTGGGGAGAATATCTCTTCTCCCCTCTTGTTGTTTCCTTCCATGCTAAGGGAGCTCAATTATTTCAGCACTCCAGCCCTCTCTCTGCCCCTTTACTCACTCTGCTCTACAGGGGGTGGAGTGACTAATCTTACTGGTAAATTTGAGAAGAATAAATTGGGCATGTATGGTTTCTCTCCTCCCTTTTTTCTCTTGGGAACAAGCTGTCTAAGGGAAACAGGAATACTGTTCTGCTTTTCTATATCATAAGTGTTATCTAGTAAGCCACACTCCATGGGCTGTTCTGCCTGGCCCAGTGATTCCTCTGAGTGAATGGGGAATTCTGGGGTTCAGCTAGCAGGTTCCCTATGTTCTTATACAAAGCTGTATCGTCTAACTTAGCCTTTATCCGAATGGAAGCTAATATTTCATCTCTTGTAGCTTAATTCTTTTGTTTTATTTCTCAATTTGCTTGGTATCCAGGAGCAGAAAAGGGATATGTTAATACTTATTGGATCTTCCCAAAGACCCTGACATTAACCATGGCCTTTCAAAGGTACATCATAACCCTCTTTAAGGAAATCTGCTCTGACCACAGCCCCTGTCTTTGAATTTGTCATGTATTTTGCTACTTTGTCTTGGCACTTTTCTTCACAACCCACCACAGGATCAAGGGCACTTGATCAAGAATAGCCTGACCCGTAGCTTTGTGGCCTGGCTTAAAAAATGAATTTATCAATCTGAAACTGAGAAATGTAGAAAGAATTGGGCTATTCTTGCAGGATAGGAAATGGAGTCTAGCTAAGCCACATTTATGGACAAGATCTTAGGATGATGACTCTGAATCTAATTTCACCTCTTTGTAAGTGTTGTTCTAGGAGTTAGCATGTCTTCTTGATTATACCATTTGAATTTTCATAATAACCTACTCCCCCTTTTATAAATGTACTTGATTGAGCTTTTGTTCCTTCCAACTAAGAGTTTATACTATTTTATAATCCCACCAACAGTGGGATTTTTCTTTACATCTGTCTGCACTTAAGTCACATAAGTCTTTTGAGTGTCGGTTTGTCTTCTGCTTTCCTCCTGTGGCCTAATCAAGGTAATCTGGAGTGGTATCTAATCTGGGTATAAGAAGCTGGATTTTTTTTTTTAATTAAGAAAGAAACATTGTAAAGGGCCCAACAAGCAGGACAACACCAAGAGTGCTGTCTGTTGTCAAAAAACTGGATCTTTAAAGCTAGGGCTGAAGTCACCACTGAGTCCAAGCAGTGACTCTAGGGAACCCATATCCTTCATTATGATGAGAAAATTCTGAGAAAGAAAAAAAGAAACCAGTGGCAGATAAGAACAAATTCCTAGTGAAAAGAATGTTCATGTTATGTATGTATGACAGAAAGAAAAGATAACCTCCCAGAAGTTAGCTTTTAATGTCCATGTTTTGAAATTCTCTAGCAAAAGTTGTTACTATGAGCAAATGGTGGTTTGGTAATTAGAGGCAAATCACTGCAGTTGGGTACTCCTCATACTGCCAGTATGCTTTGTAAGTCCAGTGGCCCACTCTGTGTAGTAGCCTTCCTGAGTTGAGAAAATGGAGCTCCCTGGAGTCTGAGGAGGTCAACATAGCCAAAGTTCACAGAGCAGAGTACCAGAAGAAAAGGGCTGCACAAAGCAAGAAGCTCAGAGATCTGCAGAGGGTCCTCTCTGAGTCCTCAGCAGCATACTGACCAGCCTATAGAGGGAGAGAAAGCACCCAAGGTTGGGAGAAAAAAACCACTGAAATGAGCAAAGTAAACAGTCCTCAGGCCTCAACAGCTTGTGTTTTCCCCAGCCAAAGTAGAAAAATCTTGTCATTCACAGGACATGGGGTAGCATATTCAGAAGGATATTGCTTTGGTAGAGACAAAATTAGCCTAAGAGTAAGACTGCTCTTGTTCAACTCTTAAAGTTTAGAAGCGAGCTTAAAAAGAATCAAACAACTTCTAACTTGAATAATTATCAGAAAAAAGCTCAGGAATATTTATAGGCATATAAAATATTCACCATCCAATAAAGTAAAATTTATAATATCTGGCATCCAGTCAAAAATTACCAGGCATGAAAGAAGTTCATATTGCACAGAAAAAGAAAATCAATAGAAAGTGGTTGCAAAATGACAGTTATTATAATTGTATTTCATATGTTCAGGAAGGTGGAATAAAAATTAGGTACAGGAAGAGACGTGGAAGATATAAAAAATGATCCAAATCAAACTTATAGAGATAAAAAAAAAAGATGAAACCATAGGTATCTGGGTCTGTTTCCTCTCTCCACCGTTTATTTGTCATAGTAAGTTGCTTATCCTCTCTAGTCCCAATAACCTCATGAAATGTGGATAATATCTATTGTAGTGCTGCTTCAGGACTAGAGGAAATGTGGGTCAAATGCTCAGCACAGAGCTTGGCAGATTGTGGGTCCTTAATAAATGACATAGAACACTATGATGAAATAGAAAAAAGCCTGGCATGGTGACTCACGTCTGTAATCCCAAAGAGGGAAGACTGCTTGAGTCCAGGAGTTTGAGATCAGCCTGGGCTACATATTGAGACCTCATCTCTATAAAAAATAAAAATTAGCCAGGTGTGGTGGTATGCTATTGAAGTGCCAGCTACTCTGGAGGCTGAGGCAGGAGGGCCCCT